GGTGATTATGACGCTTGACTCGCAATCTGAGGGTCGTGGATTCGAATCCCCCTCCACCAAACATGCTCGCTCTTTCACCCGTGGGGGCGTTATAATGAGACGGTCAACCTCACTATTCGTTGGTAAAAGAATAGCCCAACAGTTGGCGGTAAGTGGTGATGACTAGCTGCCTTCCCTTTAGTCTTTCACTGCTAAATTAGGGACGGCTAGTGCAGATAGCCCTCGTGTAACTTTGCGCGAAATTCAAAACAAACCAAACCATACTTTACAAGAGAACAGAGAGTAAACGTGACAGTTATGACGTATATTCAAAGTAATCACAGACCACTCAGTTTCCAGTAAGGAAAGTTTGAATTTACCACTGCAGTGATGTTTTATACCGCCTGCCATCTTTCTGTTAAGAGAGTCTCAGTAGACATAGCAGGAAATGTAAAGACGCGTTTTTCACTTCTCAACGTTGGATGTCTTAGTACATGTCTCAGTGGTTAGCGTGCAAGACTGTGGGTCTGAGGTTCATTGATTCGTACCCTGTTACTGACACACACACACACACACACAAAAGACTTGCCATGTATTTTTACGTCAATGCGCAATAAGAGTAACGAGCAAATCCCCTTATCCGATTGGAGTAGCCCAGTGTGTAGTGTTGACTAACTGTCTTCATTCTAACCTATCACTTCAAAATTGGGAACGCTAGAGCAGTTACCTTTTGAATAGTTTTGTGCGATATTCCACAAACAACACGAACTTAATTCAAATTTGTTGGCGGCTTGATGAACGTTAGTGGTTACAGATGTTCCACCCACCCCACACATATGTTTAATGAACGAAATTTGAAGCGTTTCTAAACGACAAATTGTTAAGCGCGTTATATTTAAACTATTTTGGAGCCTCTACACGACTTAACTGTCCATGTCGTCCCATCCGGTCAAGTTTTATCTGACGCCCATGTATCTTCATAATAGCTCTGCAGTGTTTTATCAGTTGCAAATGACTGTTATATCTAAAGCACACCACTACTTCCTGAGGGCTTTTCATAATCCATCTACTGTAAGAGAACAGTCCGATCGTACATGGATGGCCTTTACTACTGACCTTTGTACTTGTGGATACTCAATGGATACTTTGTTTACCATGGTTTAGATACGACTTGTTGAAGGTCTCTTTAACTGGTGTTCCTGGTTCCACAAGTTGCTTGACATTCTTGTGGGTTTTTTTGCTTTGGAAAGGACTATTATATACCATATCCAAAAGCGATAAATTTTCGATGACATCACACGACCTACAAAACCAAACAGTCTCAAAATGTAATTCTGATACTTTCTCTTTCACCGCGACTTTATATCGTCTGTGGTTGTTGCATAACTTGATGATTTGGATATTCAAAATCGTTATAATCTACCATACTCAACCCTGTATATGGTATGAAAATTCTTCTACTTATCAAACATATTTGAATAGGGCTTATAAAAGCCCAATAAAGTATTAGCACTTTTGCTTTTTTAACGTTAATTTGTAATTATTATTGTCTCTTTTGTACGTTTACATAATTCTACTAATTTTTAATACGTTCGTCCTTGTAATTTGATTACTATCTCACCACACGCTTTGGACGCGCAGACTCGTGGTGTCTACGCATTTCTTCGTATCTATTATCTGATTTCATGATAAAATCAAACTGTGATAATTTGATTTCTGCAGTGCCTTTACATTCCAAGTAATCTTTTCTCGAAATAACTTTAACTATAATCATGCATTATTCTATAGGCGTATATTAAAAGGTTTAACGAGATTCTTTTAACTAAATAAAAAAAATAAAATCGAACTGTGATAACTGGTTTGAAATACCGAAGAAAGTGAAATAATGAAACCTGAATTCGGACTGCGTGTTCAAAGTTTGTACGTTATATGGCTCTTGGTTACTCAAAACAAATATGATTCCGAATGCGTGAGTTTATCGGGGGATCAATAATGTAATATCAGTTAAAGCAGTGGAATCCGGATATAGAACAGTTTTGCCTGCTGTAAATTGAACAGTAAATGCTGTACCTTGAGATAACACACGAAATTTCGTTTTACAGTAGCCGATCAGGCTTATGTGGATGGAGAAGGGGAGGGGAGGCCAGATATCATTAAATTTGTTTATTTGCGTGTGCTGTTTTTTGATAGATTGAAATAGGTATGACAAGAACTAAGTCATGTAGCGAAATGTATGTAAAAATGTTATTACCATTTAAGCATCGATTAATCGAATGGACGTTGGTAAATCTGACACTTTTTTTAAACACGAATTTAAATAGATAGCTATGCATGAACTCAAGGCAACGTAAGACATTTAGCTTAAGAATTGACAGCTCCCCGTAATAATCAATAGAGTTTGGAATGACCTTCAGTTGGTGAATTATAGGGCTTTTAACTTTTGTCATGTGAATAACGAATCAGTTAAATAAAACTACATTGTAAACTATGCTGCGAGAATATATGCTTTCCTCTTTCCTGAATTAGTGTAATATATATGTAAAGACGCAAAAGTTTTTAGAAAAGTTGTATTCTGTTAATTATCAAAGTAATTATTCATTAGGTTGTCAAAATTTAGTGCCCGGTTTAGTGATAAAATGAAACCGTGTTTATATCATAATTATTTTTACCCTGTGGTAACCACTTTCTTTAGATTAACTTTCAGTATAAATAGGGTTTCATTCTTTTAACACATACATCATATATTAATCATAATAAACCATACTATTCGTTGGTGTCATGGAACGATCAGAAATACATTTGACGACTGTAGTTTCAAACTAATGAAACATTTTAATACTAAAATGTTAATCTATTCTATCGCTTAAATAAGTTTAAGGAGTGGTTAGTTAAATTATACAGAATATGTGGTATACAGCCTTTAAGTATCAGAACAAAAAAAAATACTTACAATTTTCTCAGCAGAAAACACATAAGCACAACTGGGAGTAAAAAAAAAATTGTTTTCTTACTCCAATAATCTAATATCAACTATAATTGATTCAACGGAAAGTCTTTGTACCTGCCCAACTGAAGTAATATATAAGTTGGGAAAGCATCGCAATTACTGTAAAGTATAAATGAGTAAATGTCATTTATTTACATTATTAAACTGCACTGGTTCTGATTATATAATTATTTTTCTTCTCCCATGATCGAGGATTCCTCTGAGATAGGGTTCTGTGTAAGAATACAGTGTACACATTGGTTATAGTCCAATCTTGGCACCACACCTACTGGTAAAAGTGTTCACCCAGTTACCTGAGTTTACAGGTATTGTTGTTGCTTTCACTTTTTTACTTTGATTTTGTTGGCTTGGGGTCAAGATGATCTTGACCTGTTTAACTCTTATGTTTGGAGGTTGTAAACCATACCTTAGGCTTAGAGATTCAAAATTTCTGGGTGTTAGGAATATTAAGAAGCTTGTAACTTTAAAGGTTGGTATGCGAAAAAAAAATAATGTTTTGACTATTAAAAAAATGTTTGATCTTTCTATGAGCAGTAACGTAAAAATAGTTTATGATGCTTGAAATGCTGGTTAAAATTATTGGCCACATTTTATACAATTTTTACTAGCAAAATTGTGTATATGAGGTTTAGTACATTATATATATACGGAATTAGATAACAACTCAAGATTACAAAAAGCGCCGAGGTGCTAGGCAAAGAAGTACAAAAAATGCTATAGTTTTCATTCACTTTTATGTAAGGTAAAAGGACAATTGAAATGTGTTTCATGATTTGATGCGTTCTGTGACTATGTAGATAAAATAATTGAAAAACAACGTATTGTCATGCAAGCGTTTTCTTAGTGTTGATTTTTGGAGTTTATTTTAACAGCACTGAGATTTTAAGTATATTAAAAAGTTATATTATTCCCGTATCTGGCCCGGCATAGCCAGGTGGTTAGGGCGCTCGACTCGCAATCTGCGGGTCGCGGGCTCGAATCCCCGTCACACCAAACATGCTCGCCCTTTCAGCCGTGGGGGCGTTATAAAGTCACGGTCAATCTCACTAAAAAGAGTAGCCCAAGAGTTGGCGATGGGTGGTGATGACTAGCTGTCTTCCCTCTAGTCTTACACTGCTAAATTAGGGAAGGCTAGCGCAGATAGCCCTCGTGTAGCTTTGCGCGAAATTCAGAAACAAAACAAAAAACAAATTCCCGTACCGTCAAATTTCTTTAAAAAAATCAATCATTGTTAAAGAATGCTGAACATTATTTGTGTTACATATGTTTAATATTTATTTTTATTTGAAATGAAAAGATATATTCATATATATAAATCAAAACGCTACACTAAAAAAAAGAGGGAGAGAGAAAAAAGAGAGAGTTTGAGATAGTGTGGAGAGGGCTTATACTAAAATATATAGAAATTCCGAGATTGAAAATAAAGAACAAACCTCACACTGATGTAGTTCTTTCGTCCTTAAAATGGCTAGGCAGAAATAAAATAAGTATCAGCTTTGTTTCATTCAGCTAGTAATCCTCATCATACATGGTGTTGTATGATGCAATGATCACAAATCTCACTCCAAACTCACATCTAGGAAATGCCGTTTTTAGCAGACAGTTACCGAAAAACATTTCGTTCGCGAGAACGTATTATATCATGCTGATATTGATGTAAATTATTATACTCTTGTGACTCTTCTGTTTAGCCCAGCCAGGAAACCCTACAAAACACCGAATACTGAAATTATATCACATGATAAAGAATGTAATAGGAACTCTGAAATAAAAATTTCCAGTTCTGCATTTAAATGATTAGGTCAGAATAAAAACAATAAATATGTAGTTGATCAAGAATGATGTTCGCCGTATTGGCAAAATATACAATTATCTCACACGAACATACATCTAACGCTTGAGTTTTCTTTTTTTTTTTTTCATGACGTCATAAAAACGTCTTCACTAAGGAAGTTCAAGCTCACGTGCTCCTATGCTGTCTCCAATCAGCGGGCGGTTTACTCCCACGTCAAAGACTGATTTTATGGCGGTTGCCGTGTTCGATACAACGGGTGCTGTTCAATAGAATCGTGGAGGTAATATGTTTGTGTTGTGGGCACTCAAAGGTCAGTAACTGATGTGAAAGTTCTAACAACTTTTATTATAGTACGAATACTGGATCACAGAAAAAACAACTTGAACGAGAAGCAACCATTCTATCTAGACTTTGCTTTGTTATTCTAGTCTTTTTACGGGACATTTTAAGGCCTACAGTCCAATGAGTAATCCAGAAACCAAGTTAGCTGAGAGACGTCCGCCAAGTGCTTGGGCCAGTGTGGAGGAGTCAGGTCCTAGAGACCTGGAAGCGTACGGTGCAGATGATTTAACTTACACTGGTGTTGAAGAACATGACGTTATTCCAGAGGGTCAGAGGACAGGTTGCTGGCACGGGTTGAAGAGCGGCATTGGAGGTCAGTTTTAGTGCAAACGTATTTCACTATTCAAAATATGTTAAATATCGAATTTATTATGATTCTTAACTTCAATTCGATTTGTCATGAAAATCAAGCACTCTTTAGTAACTTCTTAATTTTTAGTAGATTATGAATTGACATAACTTTCATTCTTAGTGCTAATAATATCAGTATGGTATAGGAATACCTTATTTCTATTCTCGGTGTCTTAATAACTTTTTTTTCTGATCATGTAACTTGTAAGAAAAAAAAGATAAAGCAAGCCGTAGTTAACTTAAGATTTCATGGTTATTTATGCAGGAATGATTAAAACAAAATATTATAAATAATAAATTGAAAGTCTGATAAAGCCTTTAAAAATAATACACTGTTACGTCTCTGGTCGTTTGTTAATTTCCGGTATAAATGTTTTCCGAGGAACTTCAGCGATGCAAGTCCTTTCTTAAATAAAACTAGTTTATTCTTTCTCAATATAACTTTGCAATACACAGAATTTCCACAGTCATTTTAACTTCAACACACGCTGTAATTCACAACGATTCACGCACTTTACTTACGGTCACTACCGCTCACTTGACTCAGTTATCTCTCTCTATATCTGTCTATCTGTCATTATATATCTGCTTTATTTGCCGGGCTTATAAGCTAAAATAGAGGGCGCCTAGAAAAGACAGGAGTTGCCAGGAAAAGTCATGATCCTTCTAGAAACTCATGACGTGTTACCAGCGTCAGGTGACTTCTGCTGTCGTAACAACACAGTTAACTTTCGAATAAAGAAGTAAAAATGGAAGCAGTTTGTAACTTTCAATATTTCATGAGCTAATGTTTCTAAATTTGTTGGATATCATAATATTGGCGACTTATAAGACTAGAATCACTAGATCATAAGCATCGCTTAAACACAACACTTTAATATATCCAAACATTCAGTGAAACGATTGTCCATGTTGATAAGCGTATAAAACTTTTTGCAACATAAAATACAGATACAGACATGTCTCACGCTATTTTGGTGTCTTAGTCAAACAGTTGAAACGGTATTACATAAAGGTCAGTTACTGTATATACTGTTACGACAGCGGAAGTCACGCGCGCTGGAGTTTCTCGAAGGATAATGAATTATCGAGGAACCTGGCGAATGTCCGAGTGTTTTTCAGGTGCCCTCTTTTTTAGTATATAAGCCCGGCAAATAAAGCCAGCGATAGATAGATATGCAGAAAGATTGAAGATATAGATAAGTGAGTCAAGCGAACAGGAGGCACCGTAAGAAAAGTGTGTGAAGCACTGTGATTTATAGCGTGTGTTATAAAAGAAGTTAAGTCTAACGTACTGATTGGAAATTCTGTGTATTACAAAGTTGTATCGAGGGAAAATAAACCGGTTTAATTAAGAAAGGACTTGTATCGCTGAAGTTCCTCGGAAAGAATTTATACCGGAAATTAACAAACAAGCAGATACGTAACAATACGCCAACCAGCTTCAGTAATATATGTATATACAGCATGTTATAACTAGAAGAAGGAAAACGCCAGAATAAACGTATTACGTTATTATTAATAAACTTGATTTACAATAATATTGAAAGAAATTTTATATATTATATGACAAAATTACTATCGTGAAAAATCCAACTGATATGGTGAAGCCTTTTGTAGTAACTTCTAAATAATAAAGTAATAAATGTTCTTTGAATACAACAGTTTATTCTTATGATTAGCCGTGTATATCAACAGTCACGCACTTCTCTATAAAGTTACTTTTGTAACACATATGTATACAAAATATGCCGTTTTTAGGTTTTCTCTAAGTATAGCGATCAATTAATATTTAGGATTTGATTCTCAACTCTTCTACTGATATGCAATTTGGGGAATAAACGGCCAATTTTTGGAGCTCTAATATAGATCCTTAAGTTGTACGACACTTGTAAATATAGAGTTCACAACAGTATATATATAGCCAGGTTACTGTATGTTTAGATGAAAACAGCCATGTTAATTAATAATGACAGAAAAAATATATATATACGATTACGAGCAATCACTTCTTTTCTGCTTTGCGGCGCTGAACATATTCAAGAACAAAAACAGTGTTGTGATATTACTTTGCCACTTAACACTTAGTAACGTTTTTGAAAGGCGTGGTTAATTCAGTTGTAATAAAAATTTGGATCACACGTGCTCTAGTGAACAAATACATGTCATCTCACTAGTTACTGAGTTAAAATTAATGTTTTGTATGTGCGCCCGTATATTACTAATATTGCAATTAAACTAGACACTTTTTAGAGAAACCTCATAAGACACAGAGTTAAAAGGAAAATGTTTTAGTGTAAAAGGTGAAAAGTGATGACTCTTAAGTTTCTAAACTTCACACACACACATATACTCAAGGCACTAATTTGGATACTAGTGACCTACGAAGAAATAGACATTGAATTCCGATGAAAACTAGAAATGAAAATTCGTAAGATAGGTTAATCGATGTTATGCGTGATGTTTTATTAAATTTTGGATCTGAGAAAAGTGTGGGCAGAGCACAGATAGCCCATTGTGTATCTTTGTGTTTAACAAACAAACAAACTAGGCGATACATTTTTTGAGGAAACCACCTGACATTTTCAACTTGACTCAGACAATTTGTTTGTTTTGTATTTATGTGAATCATCACACAGGTGCAAAGTCCCGAATGTGTTCAAATGGTGTTTGCTACTCCTGTTTTTACTGGCTAAACTTTTTTTTCTCATAGTATGCGAATTTTCTGAATATTAATGGATTAATATATGCAAGTTTTGTTGATTAAAATATACATGCAATAAATCTCAAGCAGATGCGAGTAATTTTGGAATTGCTGAAGGAATTAGTTTTCATAATTTAAGAGTTCTATGCTCAATAATTCATATATATATGATGCCATTTACTGTGACGCTCAACACAACGTAGATTGCTTCCCGACTTATAAGTTATAATTGTTTGGTCTATGGATTTCACGTTTTTGAAATCTAAGAACAGTTTCGTGTTTTCATTAGATGTATTCGCATCAGGATTTAGCAAATAACATCAGAAAAATAAATGACATGAAAAAGCATACCTTTGCTTGTTTAATTATATGACCTTAACTACAAATGTAGGTTGATGTATATTAGCTAAATATGTAAGCTTTTGCTTGTTTCAGACTTTTCATAATTATCGAAAGGAAGTTTCAAGATTGTTTTTTCTAGTAAAACTTTTTCATAAAATCTTACTTGCCGTTAAATTATGTTTACTCATAGTGTAATGAGAGGGCGCTGTATATAAACTTACAAGTTTCTGTTGGTTCAGTATAATTATTTTTCATGTGATTTGTGGTTAAGAAACACTTGAAGTGTTAGATTATAATTTCATCCTTTTTGACAAAAAAAATCTTAACTCGCTCTCACACATATATATGTATACAGTCCAACATAACACTCGATAAAAAAGTATGTGGTAAGCCACAGCGTGTCTGAGAGTATTTAAACAAATTTATAAATTACAAAGGTTTTCTTTTTTAATAAACATCGGAAATGTTTCTTTGCCTATTGCATATTTTGAACAAAAAACTTCGAATAAGTTTAATCACAGCTATTTGTTTGCTAAGATCTCCAATGTTCACGTGTAATTCATAAAATTGCAACAAAGAAGCAAAGTTTCGCAACCAGTAACTAAAGAAAGGTGTATTATCAGTTTTAAATCCCACATTGGAGTTTATAGTCATTTTCGTACAATAGTAAAGTTAAATTAAAAATAATAATATTTATTCATAATAGGATGTGAGGCAATTAATAAATTTCGTTTATTCGATCCTTACAAATTAAACCATGCAGGGAAGTTTATGATAAAGAGGAGATGAACGAGTTTCATTTTATTTATTTTTTGCTGTATAGTTTTAATTAAGCCCATATATTTTTGGAATAATTAAAACTATTAAAATTCCTTTTGATTTAGCGAATTTGTCTAATGGTAAATTACGTTTACGTTTTAATGAACATCTCTTTTGCTTTAGGATGTTGGAGAACGAGAGAAATGGCTTCGGACGAGGACAAAGATTGGCACGTGAAAACGACGTTACGCGAACTTATAATTTACATCATCTTTGTTGTGGTTCTTTGTATCTGTAAGTCTGCTGTATATGGAATTTTATTAGTTTACAAGCTGTAGTACTCGTTCCCTGAACATACGTTATGTATATTCATGATTAGTGAAAGGTTATCTTAGGACATGAAAAGTTGCTTCCCTTATTTTTAATTGTAAAAAACGCAAAAACTACCATAAAAACCGCAAAATGCTAAACTAAAAATTTGTATATATCTCCCAATGAACTTCCATGCCATATTTGGTGAAGATCCATCCACAGAAAGTGAGGTAGTGGTAAAAAAACAAACCAAAACGCCCATAGAAATTGCAAAACGCAAAACTGAAAATTGTATATATCTCCCCATGGACCTAATGAACCTCCATACCAGTTTTGAGGAAGATCCATTCACACCCTGCAAAGTAGTTACATGGACGTACAACAGACAGTACTATTATATTATATAGATTTGAATGTCGATGCTTATTTGCTAGTTGATCTTAAATACTTAAGTTTATGTGGGTAAGTGGTTTGTGTGTATCACAGCATTTGATGTTACTCCTCTTTTTCATGACCTAGTATGGTCTGGTGGTTAGAGGGCTCATTTGGCAATCTGCGGGTCGCGGGTTCGAATCCCATTACCGAACGTTCTCATCCGTTGAACCGTTGGAGCCTTATGATGTAACGATCACCAACTACTCGTTGGTAAAGAGTAGCTCAAAAATTAACGATGGGTGTGGCTGCCTTTTCTGTAGTCTATCACTTCAAAATTAGGGACGGCTAGAGCAGATAGCCCTCGATTAACTTTGCGTGAAATTCAACAAACTATTTTTTTTAATTTTTAAAGATTTATACCTCCTGGGTACTGTATCTGACTTTAAGTTGATTACATTAAATATATATTGTCTAACGTGATCGACAGTGAAAATATTTTCTGTGTCAAAAGCTTGGATGTGATTCTCTCTGCCAGACATATTGTTAGGTCTGTGGTTTTTACAAGCTGCCTTGATGAATTTAGTGTTATTTAATATAAATCCCCCCCCCCCCCACCCTCTCCAGTGGCTCATCGGTAAGTCTGATGGCTCACATTGCTAGAAACCGGGTTACAATACTTGTGGTATGCACAGCACAGAGAACTCATTGCGTAGCTTTGTGCTTAAATTAAATTTAATATACGTTGGTTTTTTTCGCACAATACTAGCATGTTGCGCACAAATATTTCACATACAATACACGGTTTATCTATATCAAATTTATTTGTTGTTTTTTCCGTTACCTTCTACTTCAAGATGTATCGACACGATTAGGAACATTCTTTGATATAGATCACCTCAATTCAACTGCATGATTTTTCATGTGCGTAATAATGCACAAACATTGCGCAAAAAATATGCATTAAATGGTAAGTCAGAAATCGCAAACACCTAGAAACATATAAAACTCGTTTAGCTATTATTTTGAATTCTTACTTAGGATATAAATTTAAGACTAACTTGTATTTTGTATTTTTGGAAAATCTAGTACGACTATTTACCGCCGTCCCTATTCCCTAATTTTGAAATATATTGACCAGAGGGAAGGCAGCCAAATCAGTAGCTCTCTATACCACGCACTCACCATCCGTTATAAGGAAATGATTGCCACTAAGGCTATCTTAAATCTTCTAAGATGGCCGAACCTCATCAAATATTATTGGGATTACGACCGAAAATATCGATTAACAGCAAGGACCCAGCTATTGAATTATTGTGTTCTAATAATTTCGAGTTGTTATTTTGTTGTGAATTGTTTTATGACATTTCACACTCATCGCTAGGCCATTTTATAAAGTTAGGTACATAAGTTATTAGTTTAGTTCTAATCTTTGTAGTAAGCTGGCTTTATTCAGGTCCCTCGGTGGGACAGCGATAAATCATCGGATTTACAACGTCAAAACCAAGGGTTTGATTCTCCTCGGTGCACAAAACAGATAGCCAGATGTGGCTTTGCAATAATGAATCACACACACACACACACTTGCTTTATTCAGAAGTTATTGATAATACTTAATCATTGATCTAATTGGACTGGTGAGAGTAAGAATTTATCAGTTAACGGTACGGATTTATATGAGTGAATATATATGTCATGATCACGACGGTTACGTTTTTGCCTGTGCGAGCCATTTCAAACGTGTTCTTGCAGTGATAGTTGTCGTTCGTAATTTGTGTCGCGTCTTTATATTTTTATTTTTATTTACTTTATTACGGTTGAAGATAGCATAACTAAATTCAATGTTTCGTAAACTTTAATATAGTACTTGTAGTTTTCTGAAAGAACAAGATAAATAGCTATGTATGCATGGTATACACGTAGCTGAAAAATTGGACATGCACTTGTGAGCTGTTTAAGAGAGGTAACTTAAATGTTTAGGCTTATTCTTCGTTTATTTTTTTCCTGTTTCTCGAGAGTAACTTTTAGTTTAGATCATCTGGATTTTGAATAATCACGCATACAACCAAAACATTGAAATGTGATATTGGAACAGCGTCTAATTAGAAACTCAATTTCATGTTCGAGTGCATTACTCGCTAGAGCTCTATTACCTGATTAGTTTTAAAGCTTTGGTGGTATAATGGAAAAACTGGGAAGTTGTTTCTCACGCAAGTTTTATTTAGTAACCCAAGAACCGCTCTTACATAGGCGTGAAAGAAACAGAAAATTCGGGCCGGGATTTTATTGTAAAATCATCGTGTATAAGGTACTTCGGTTTGGTGGGTGTCACTTGGAACTTCAATAGTTTTGTCTTAATTGTAGAAAATAATTTCGTGAACTCATATAGTCTGTGTATTTCTGCTGAAAACATCTCAGTGTTCACGAATGCTTGATAAACTTTATCGGATTTGAATGTCTATTAGGATAAACAAATATTATTCGATTCAATTACAGGTAAGAAATATTGTATTGTAGGCTGATACAAAATTCTGGAAAGTGTAGATTCTCATCTAAATGTGTAAACAACGGTTTCAAGTTTTTTTTTTAATGGTTTTAATTCATTTGAGCATAAAATAACTACTTTCGAGCACCAATATTATCTTCGCCAGACTCACAAGAGTACTTGACGAAGGAAACATATACCACTCTATGAAAGTGCTCGACTTTTCGAATCGTTTTTGAGTGCGAATGGGAAAGTTGGAGAGTTAGTTCGGTTTATCCGAGGATTTTCCAACTCAATTACTGTTGTGGTTGATCCAATATATATCAGGATAATCTAGAGCCGAATTCCATATTTGGATTAGTGCAGTGGTTTCCAATCCTTTTATGTTGCATACCCTCAGTCACACCATTAAGCCTGCATTGTATACTTGCCGCATGTGTTTTGTTAAAAAATAACAACAAACAAACTTTGAGTGGTTTAGATGCATAGAAAGATAAATCAAAAGAAATAATTCAAGGACGAGTCAATAATACACGAGTATTACGTGCTGGCTTGTGCAGGGTTTTCCAAACTGGGGGCCGCAGAAAAGTGTTATGAGAGTCATAGCAAACAAACAAAGTACATAATACTTCTAAGGTACTCAGTATCTAAAGATTCATTGGGGGCAGGGTGGAGGGGGCTTAGTCGGGATTAAGAATATTTTGGAAGGCCTTGTACTGAGAAAGATTGGGAACCCATGAGCTTGTGAAATACGCTGGTAACTCATCGAGACTCCCCTCCAGTAGTGAGGCATGGGGTTTATTTCTTGTTTAACGTTTTTCAAAAATTCTTTTGTATCTCTACCTTTGGACTAGAGGACAGTAATGCACGATGAAAACATCTCTAGACAATACTTAACACAACTAATAAATTTGAAGTAGTATGTTCATAATATATTGAGTAAGGTCCTAGACTAATGTGGAGTTAGACGTTCATCATTGTATTATAGAGAACTAGTATAGAATACCCACGCTTCGCTGCAAGCTTTAACATACGCTCACATATGTACCGATCAAGATTCTCCGTTTTCCCCAGTTACTTCTATAACTACTCCATAGAGAGTCCGTACACCCGAAAACCTCATTAGGACACCCGCCGTGGTACCTGAACATGTGCCACGCTTGGTCCCACTAGCTCATGAGTAGGGATATGTACATATTTTTAAATATGACGCCCTTGGAATTATAAAGGAGGCCAGGAACACAAAATTCGATGCTAGATTCGGGTTCAACGGACCAGAAAACATATATTATACTCCTATAAATCCTGGGTGACCTTCCTGGTGCGTTTTAGCCCCCTTCAGTAGGGGGTACTATGCCGTATGGATAAGGAAAATCCCAGGTAATTCGAGTTCGCCTGTGAAGTTTGGGTACTGCTAATTCCAGAACTGTGGGAGAAGTTCGCGAATGAACAAAAGAAATTCACACACTACCCAGGTTCGAATCCCCGTTACCGAACATGCTTGCCCCTTCACCTTTGGAGGCGTTATAATGTGACGATCACCAACTATTCGTTGGTAAAAGAGTAGCCCAAGAATTGACGGTGGGTGGTGTTGATTAGCTGCCTTCCCTCTAGTCTATCACTGCTAAATTAGGGACGGCTACCTCAGATAACCCTCGAGTAGGTTTGCACGAAATTCAAAATAAACCACACCAATTGTCACGCATACAGTTTCTAGAAAGGGTTTCCCGCATTGCCAATCGTAAAAAAAAAAAATAGTAGTAAAAGATGAAACTGTTTATTAATTTATATCTTTGGTAGCAAAATTGAAATATCGTGTGATATCTGCCATCAACACATTGCAAAAATATAGTTCTGGTATGACATCTATAGATGTAAAATGCACCGCCTTTTTATGACAGAAATGATATTGATAGGAACAAACTACGCTACATGAAAGATAAAATATTGTGGGAAAAAATATACCTTTATTTTTTAAACTGTTCAAATGTTTACACGAAATCGGATTTCGGTTGATTAATAAAAATGTCTAAGAGAAAGATGAAGTTGTCACTTTTTTAAAGATATAATGGTGTAATTTGATGAATATTCACGCATTAAGTTATTTCGAATTCTGGTAATAAAA